TTCTTGTATAACTCTCTTACAGTCTTGGCACGAGATGACTCAAACTTATAGTGAAGGGGGAGGGGTGTACAGGAGAAGCCAGTCCACTGTAACCTGGTGAAGTACTGAGTCTAAGACGAGTACAAGCAAAAGTAAACTAAGATGTTGCTTTTGTATTACAGTCTAAGAAGACTTGTGGAATTTGGCATCGTCCAACATGCATATGATAATGCAGTACGGAACGGAACAGTTTGTTTTAAGCCTGAGTCCTTCACCAGACCCAACAACAGCCTTCGGCCACTGGAACTGGGAGACTTCTACGGTGTCTTCGCTGTTTATGCCGGAGGTGAGGAACCGCTAAGGTCATTTACGCTAAGTTTCGAAACATCAAAGAGAGAATTAAACACACTACATGTTCAAATCTCTCCTCTTTATTTGAGTCTGAGGACTAGGGTAGGGGCGTGATCTAGTGGTGTCCTCGGTTGAATAGCCTGGTAGTCTACGCAGCCGGGACGATTACATAAACGGACCGGTTATTCAGCCGTGAACCCATAAACATATTAATGACTATGTCTCTAACGAGACCGTAGTGGCCCTGAATTAGCGGAACCTGCGTCCAGATGTGTTATTATACAAATTATATTTTTTATAGTTGCGTGTGTATGTTTCTGTAGGTAGGTGGATTTCCTTGTGTATATATATTGTGATATCCTTCCCTGCTACCCGCAACATTTGAGGAAAGGCAACGTTGACAAGTTAAAATAGAGAGTAAATAATTTAAGTTACTAAAGGGATAAGAAGATTATTAAGTAAACCGAGTAATTTAGTAGCATTTATATTAAGTGTTAATATAGTTAATTACATACATTACATAACACAAGTAAAACACAAATATGCAGTTTTTACCCAATTATTCTTACTTTAAACATTAAATACAACTACTATATACTTCATGTAGATCCACAATGGAAACGTGGATAAGATAAATCTTGATAAACTCACACAGGAAAAAGGGAAACAGTGGAGCACCTTAGCTTTCGTCTTTATTCAAGTTGCCTTTGAAGATGTCTTGAATAAAGACGAAAGTTAAGGTGCTCCATTGTTTCCCTTCTTCCTGTGTGATTTTATCTAGATACTATATACTGTACAACAACACAAAAACCTGAGAGAAATGGCAGCTCAGGTAGCAAGTCTAGGTTGCGATGGCGAACCACAAGGAACCAGGGATTACCGCCGTAGTCCACTACCACCAGACCATCACAACACCACCAGCAGTGGTCCTTAATACACTTCATCGTCCACACCCCGGGAGAAGAGGAACACCGTAAGCCGCAGAGAAGAGAACAGCTTACCAGGCAAACACACTTGCCTCGATACCTCGGTCTCATAGTCAGATGGGAAACTGGTCCTGTATCGGTGCTCACTGGGGTCGAGTAGCTTCGTGAAGCAGTTTCTTCTCCTGGTGTCAGATTGGAGCAAGTGATGGTTATAGTGAGTGAGGGGGGACAGAGTAGTCATGGGCTCGTGGGCCGTGGGTTCGAATCCTGGCGGGTTGAGGTGTTGATTGTATGTAGAAGTCCGTGTGTTTATTGGGCTAATGAAATATATATATATATATATATATATATATATATATATATATATATATATATATATATATATATATATATATATATATATATATATATATATATATATATATATATTAAGAAGCATTCGAGAGGTTTAGTTATTCATATTCAGCAAAAATTAAGTAAGCGTGTAGGATAATAAATAATGAAGAGGATGATGATCTAAAAAAAGTCTTGCAAAGTTCTTGAAGTCAAAATACATTGTGAAGATTCATAAGAGCTGAATCTGTGTGATTCTAAAACAAAGGTGAGGTGGAGGAAAGAAGCACCAGAAGTAGGACAATAAAAAGAGAAGAGGAGAAGAGTTAATTTGGTTAGTAAAGCGATAAGTGGCGAATATGATAAAAAAAATAATAATTATATTTGTGAAGAAAAAAAAGATTGTTTGGGAATTCGTGCTTTCTACAGTACCTAAAGCTGGGCGATATGATTAATTTTGTAACTAAGAAATGATCATCTTCATCAGGAATGTTGTTGGCGTCTGTGGTGCTGCTGGTGGAAGTGACTCTCGAAGGTCGCCCTTGACTCAAAGGTCATCCTGGAGTCAGAGGTCAACATGGACTGCAACACTGATCTTGGGGTCGGCGGTGTTACTGTTGGATACATCAAAGATCATCTACACTAACACACTGATCATCACCTTAAGTAATGAAGTAAACTTTTTCTAGTAATAAGTTATCCTAGTTAAATATTTGTGTTTAACATTTATGAGCAAAATAAACTTTTTGAAGGCTTTATGTATTTTTTCTCTCAAATAATAAAATCCTAATTAATTATGAATCGCAAAACATTTTAGACTGAAGTATTAAGTTTCTTCAACACCTCAAGATAGTCCAAACAAAGTATGTTTTCTAGTATAGTATCTACACATTAAGTATATTCACTTTTTGTTGAGTGAGTTTCCTTCATATTAGTCTATTCAGTGAAAAAACTAGCCATTCACCCACTTGGTGTCAGACCATCTCAATAATTCTGTCTTTGTCACCAACTGTCAAAATATCTGACCAGGATGGCCAATATTTCTGAAGCATATCATATTTTTGTTATCGAGAAAAAAATATGTTTCCCTTAATTAACAATAATATTTTCTATCAACAACACAGACCTTCGTTAAGTACCAAGATAAATATTTTGAAAACTTTGGTAAAACGAAAATTATATGATTATCTTTACTCCGTTTACTCTTGTTCCCTCGAATGGTCACCATATGTCAACGTTTTCTCTTTAATTGATTCCAAAACAAGTTTAGTTATTCAGATGTGATTTAATCCTTTCCTTACTACCTCTTCCCCTCACCCCTCTCACATGAACCACCATCTCTACTTGCACCCATTACCCTTCAATCCCATCTACCATACCTCTTTATCACCACCCATCACCTCCCCCTCCTTCTCTGTCTATTTGCCATCCTCTCTAACTTCGCTCATCCTTCCCCCCATCTATCACTCCCTCTCTCCCTCCCCATCTGCCAGCCATCTGCCACCACCTATCACCCCACATCTCCCCCTACCATCAATGATCTCCCTCTTTCCCTTACTGCCCCCACCCATCATCCGTCTTCTCGTTTACCCTTATCCCTTCCTCCCTGGTTAGCTGCTGACTGAGATTTTAAAGGATCTGTTCTCAGGAAGTAAAATGTTTAGGGAAGTTAACATCACAGAATAAGACTATTTGAAACTACTAGAGTTAATATTCTTGTGTGTGTGTGTGTGTGTGTGTGTGTGTGTGTGTGTGTGTGTGTGTGTGTATGTTAGTTTATATAATTTCATAACACGTTTCTTTAAGTTCAAAAGCTGCAACTAGACAAGATGAATAAACAAGAAAAAATTACTACATCTTTTTCTTTGAGCTAGATTTATTTATTTTTTTACTTACAGATTAAATACAACTGTACACTCAACAAAACCTTCTCCAACACCTGGTCATGGTGGATGTGAGAATGAGCAGAATGGGGCTTGTCATCTAGGAATGGTTTCAGATTCTTCGTTCATTTTTCAGATTGCATAGTGCTTATAGCGTTCAAGACCTTTCTGGTGAGAATGTACAGTATTTCATTGCAATAAATGAAATTAGTTTCGGTTTTAGATTGAATTTTATTTTATTTTTTCGTTCTGTACGTACTAATGCATTTTTCAGGATTTGTTTTTTTTCGGCTACAAATGGTTTTTTAATTGATAGAAAATACCTTGTGAACTGTTAATGAGAAATAATTTGAATTTGGGTCAAGATCTGACTTTTTTATTTTCTGATCTCGTCACAAATTATTTTTGTTTTTATTAATTCAACTTGGGGTTTTTTTTTATCTTAGAAACATCCCTTTATAATTTTATTTCCACCAGTCGCAGAGTAGCTTTTTTTTGGCACAATACAGTGGGTTTTTCTTCAATACAAAAAGCGTATAGAGTACAGTACAGTATTCTTGTCGTCAGCTTGAATAGGTGTTTCTTGGTCACGTTTGCAATTTGGTTAATTTTCTCAGCGTAACACATTCATATTTCGCGTCTACACAAACGTATTTTCAGTCATTTGAAATTCGACAGGAAAACGAGAATATGAGAACTTAGAGCTTTTACCTGTAAGGTGATATAGGATCTTGCCAACCTCTGAACAAATTGTCATCTAAATATGTTCCACTTGAACTGAAACCAACGTATGTAAATTTCCTCTGAAATCAGTTAAAATTTAAAGCAGTTTAGTGAGCACATTCTTTCATGCTTAAGCTACTATGGCGAAAAGCAGAAAGACCTGGCCATAGAATGTTCCTCCAGGTCCTCCTCACTTGCCCTCTTGTATTCAACTGTTCATCTTGATGATCCCAGGTCCCAGGATCTGTGGGTAGAAACTGACTTGGTGAAGCTGTATTTTTTCAAACTATGACCTGGAATGCTGACTGACACACACACACACACACACACACACACATATATATATATATATATATATATATATATATATATATATATATATATATATATATATATATATATATATATATATATATACTATATATTATAAATATATATATATATATATAAAAACACACACAATATATATATATATATATATATATATGTATTACATATATATATAAATACACACACACACACACACATATATATATATATATATATATATATATATATATATATATATATATATATATATATATATATATATATATATATATATATATATATATATATATATATATATAACAAATGAAAGCAAATCAGGAATACAATTTTCACTTATGACTAATTAAGTTGCTCGTGGCTCACAAAATGAAATCAATCAGACGTGAAAATGTTAGTTCAGGTCACTAAATTAAATCATGAGACGCAGACCTTAAATAACGGGAGGGCGGGGAGGAGTCACTTGTGTGAGGGACGCTTCTCTTGCCACTTCCGCTGCTACCATGAACACCGCCGCCACCGTAACTGCTGCCGTGGCTATCGTCACCATAGGAATGACCGCTGATGCAACCAACATGACCGCCGGTGCCACCAACATGACCGCCGGTGCCACCAACATGACCGCCGGTGCCACCAACTCGTCTTCTTGTCTCAAAGTTTGCGACATGATAGTAAGTGCTTCACCACATTATTGTTTTCTTGAACAGTGTTGATGTTAAGTGCCCACTGCCTGGCTACTGTATTGTTTTTCTTTTGTAATAAAGAGCATCCCACTGCTCTTTGGCAACAAAGTGTGTTGATTCAAGTTTTTGCCGCGTCACTTCACTGGTACGAAAGTGCGGTGATTGTAAGTGTTTGCTGTGTCACTTCACTGGTACGAAAGTGCGGGGATTGTAAGTGTTTTACACCTCCGTGTGTACTGCAGGCGGTTGAGCGCCCCACCCGGGGTACATTACAGACATGGGGTACTCGTACATTTGTCGATCTTTAGATAAATTTACCAAACTCCCGCTGCCCCGTGTATTTAATGTGGTGTCAGACACACCGAGATGAGGTGGGGTAAGCGTGCACCTCGGTATCTTTGTCCGTCCTTTGTAATTTTTACCGTTGAACACCTCTATAGCCCGGTCGTAGTATTCTGACTTCACAATGAGGAAGGACTTGCTGGCATTTGGGTGGTACCCTATTTGTGGACCACATGATGTTACCAGATCCCTTCCACTTTTTGATGCTCTCCACTTTTCCTGCTCCAGTAAGCTCATCAGCATTTGCCAATTACTTGACATTGGTTGTTTCATAATGTATTGTACGTTGGAGCACGGATAGGCCCAGTGCATATATTGCCAAATTACCACGGCGACTGGGTCCCCTTGCGTCGTTCCCTCGGTTGACTGTGTCCCCTTGCGTTGTTCCCTCGGTTAACTGTGTTATGGTATCTCCTCGTAGGGCCATGAAACTTGTTATATAGAGGTCTGTCGGGCTCTTGTATGTATTTTCAACATACCTTGCAAAGCTTGGACACTTGATCTTGACGTTGTACAGTGTAGCCTTGCGGTGAGTCTGTTGAAAAAATTGGATGCGTCTACCAAGACTATAGCCCAACAGTCATGCTGCTCAAATATCTTTTTCATGGCGTGAATAGCGGGTTCTCCCCAGCCTGGTGGCCAGCAGCATGGCTTTTGCCGGGACATAAACGCCCTGGAACGTGATGCCTTCCCCCTTCACTTGCAGGAGGGTGTTTATCCCTCAGAAGCTGTATGGCCTGTTTGTTTATTGTCAGCACACCACCTGGAGATTCCTACTGTTACTGCTACTACTAATACTACTGGTACACGTAATAATAATAATAATAATAATTAAATATAGGCGCTTTTATATCTGAACACATCCTGCTTTGTGTGTTGGTAAAATGGTGACTGCAACATTGCACGATTACTATTGGAATTGGGACAAATCCTGCAATTATAATATTTGCTAATTACAATGAAATATACAATTTCATACTATTAATTAAGTATTCTTAGTATCCTTGAAGAGCAACAGTTATTTAAATCTTGTGCCACGCAATGACGTTTTGATGCCAAAATTAAATTTTACCAATACTAAGTCCAAATTTTCAGGATATTCACAAGTTTAAGATATATTTGTATAAAGGCAACATTTTCATCCTCAGGCTTTCAGATGCCTTCTTCTCTACTTAATGGACATTTTTTCACGCCTCCATTGTTTCACAGCTCACCTCCTGTGTATTAACCAATGTTCACTGCTCACTAAGTGTGTAACAGTATGGAATCGCATCTCAGCACGAAAGTATCAGCCCAAACCCACAGGTAGACAGCCACCCTATTCACCATAACATCCTTCTGTCAGTAGATGTACGTTAGGCCTCTCTCTCAATCCGTTTATCCTCAACAGTACTTTCCGCGCCTGAGTCTAGACGACACCACGAGACCCTACACGATCCACGGGCCCATGTATGAAGTACTGAAAATATTAACAAGTAAACTCAATACGTGGTAAGACCCAGTTTAAGTCCTCATTAATGTTCACAACACTCCACACGCTCAATATATGTTTATAATGTTAAGTTGTGACATGTATGGTATGGTCTGTTGGAATACCCTCTTGTATCATTGGTTGTTTAAAAAAAAATTAAAATGTGAATATATTCCACTTAAACGGGGAAAACCCTTGTGATATAAAAGACGCATTATCTTTTATGTAGTGTGTGGTACTGTAGTGTTGTCTTACTGTAGTGTGTGGTACTGTAGTGTTGTCTTACTGTAGTGTGTGGTACTGTAGTGTGTGGTACTGTAGTGTGTGGTACTGTAGTGTGTGGTACTATAGTGTGTGGTACTGTAGTGTGTGGTACTATAGTGTGTGGTACTGTAGTGTGTGGTACTGTAGTGTGTGGTACTATAGTGTGTGGTACTATAGTGTGTGGTACTGTAGAGTTGTCTTACTGTAGTGTGTGGTACTGTAGTGTGTGGTACTATAGTGTTGTCTTACTGTACTGTGTGGTACTGTAGTGTTGTGGTACTGTAGTGTGTGGTACTGTAGTGTGTGGTACTGTACTGTGTGGTACTGTAGAGTTGTCTTACTGTAGTGTGTGGTACTGTAGTGTTTGGTACTGTAGTGTGTGATGCTGTAATTGTGTGGTACTGTAGTCATGTGGTACTGTAGTGTTGTCTTACTGTAGTGTTGTCTTACTGTAGTGTGTAGTACTGTAGTGTGTGGTACTGTAGTGTGTGGTACTGTAGTGTGTGTACTGTAGTGTTGTCTTACTGTAGTGTTGTCTTACTGTAGTGTGTAGTACTGTAGTGTGTGTACTGTACTGTAGTGTGTGGTACTGTAGTGTTGTCTTACTGTAGTGTGTAGTACTGTAGTGTTGTCTTACTGTAGTGTGTATACTGTAGTGTGTCTGTAGTGTGTGGTACTGTACTGTAGTGTGTGTCGTGTTGTCTTACTGTAGTGTGTGGTTCTGTAGTGTTTGGTACTGTAGTGTGTGGTACTGTAGTGTGTAGTACTGTAGTGTTGTCTTACTGTAGTGTGTAGTACTGTAGTGTGTAGTACTGTAGTGTGTGGCAACTGTCTTAACCCTTTATAGGCAGTAGAAGATATTATTGAGCTGAGACAAACCCTTCCCCAATACAAGATTAAGGCATCACGTTTAGTTGACAACGTGTCCAGGAGTCTTGCCAGGTCTCCAACAATAGGATGGGTATACACAGGGGCGTATTGATCTGTTGTTTTGGGAAGTCTATAATTTGTAGCTTCAATCAGTTACAGAAATGCACACTGAGAACCTGTAGGGTCTTCACTAGTGTATTATAACAAACACCTGTGAACAAAAGGAAGACAAACGTTGGAGAACAAAGTTCATAGAACGATCAGGTATATATGAAAAAATACATTAAAACATTAAAGAGACGTTCTCTCTCTCTCTCTCTCTCTCTCTCTCTCTCTCTCTCTCTCTCTCTCTCTCTCTCTCTCTCTCTCTCTCTTTATATATATATATATATATATATATATATATATATATATATATATATATTTATATATATATATATATATATATATATATATATATATATATATATATATATATATATATATATATATATATATATATATATATATATATATATATATATATATATATATATATATATATATATATACAGGTATATATATATATTTTTTTTCTCCACAGCTTCGAGTGGGTGTTCCCAGACTTAGTCACTGCAGGATTCCAGCAGCCTAATGGTACTTGGCTAGGCGTTATAAGCTATCTTATCCGCCAGGTGAGTCTGTTTTGTTGTAAGGTAAACAATGGTAAGTCATCACTAATTATCCTATTCGTGTGTTTCCTTAGTATGTTATATTGCTCGCGATTGTTTCTGTGAATATTTCTCAACATTGTTTATTGATAGAGTTCATTATACTGAGATGGTTCAATTTTGTTGCATTTTTTTCCAGCCTTCACCTCAACTTGGTATTAATAATAATATCCATTTGTCAGGAGTGTGATATATCGGGTTCTTCATTTCCTATGAATCATCTGCGATTTCACACTGTCGACTTCAGTATACCGATATTCATGGAGTCTTCTGTGATTGCATACCAGAGTCCAGTAATTGGAGCAGATCTCGCTGGTTTTGTGAAACCTTTTACAACTTTTGTGAGTTTAATAGTTTTACGTTGTGAAGAGATAAATTAATGTTGTTATTATTGCGTCAATAGTAATAAACTAAATAAGTATAATGGTACAATTAACACATCATAAGCCTCTTTGTCCCTTACCTTCTTCCCACTCAGAGCGTCTCACTTACAGGTAATCACTTGAGAACAGAAAGACAAAAAGATCCAAGATGTTGGTTGATTCTGATGCTTAGAAACTTCTGAGACAAAATCCACTTTACTCTGTAAACAGTAAATGTAACAGAACATTAAAGAATATCGTGAGGGTCACATTTAGCTGTTTTCATCAACTTCTACGTCTCTGTCACGTGTGAATAGTTTGCATATATATAACACAATGCTAACACCCGTACAATACCTCCTACACACGGAGAATACATAGCTTATGCTGATGACGTCACCCAAATCATCTGACATCCAGGCAAGGGCAAACAGTTGATGGCACGAAAAACAGCCCATGCCATCGAGCAAATCAACGAATATAAAAAAAAGTGGAAAATACAAACCAATACACAGAAACTAAAGATCATACACATTGCCAAAATTAACCCAGCACCAATCACAGTCAACAACGTACCTATACAATACTCCAACGAAGGCAAAATTCTGGGACTCACAATAATAAGAACAGGCAGAGCAAAACACATAACACAACGCAAAACGCTTGCCCAATCACAACTCACAAAACTACGAAGATTTAGCAAAATGGACACCAAAATTCAACTACATCTATCCAAAGCACTTGTCCACCCCCACCTGGAGTATCCACCAATACCACTCAGCACGATCAGCGAAACCAGCCAACTTAAACTTCAATCAGTACAAACCAAAGCTATCCGTAGAGCATCAAAGCAACTCCCCCCATACACCACCAAAATACAAGAACTTCACGAATTATACAATATCGAACCACTGAACACACGTACACACAGCCAAGCTCAGAGAATCTGGAGCAAACTTGAAGAGTTGGAGGACCCATTATTCTCCCAGTTAAAAGAAGAAGTAACTCCTAAAACACACAGCTGGTGGCCCAAGAGCCTCCATGCTAACATAGAAGAACAAGACCCACTTTACACATATATGTGAACAAATAACACCACCATCTAACAAACATAATTTAACACCCATTACACTAATGAATGCCTATCTAACTTAGCCCCCCCCCCCCTCCACCTGCCTCCCTTGAGCGGGCGGGCGTCTGCTGCGTGTGGCCACCACCCAAACATATCAACTCGTCTCAGCTAGGTGGACAGCCCACCTGCTATCACCCCCTTCTACTTTACTTCCCGTTTCTATGCTTTCCTTCTCTCTCTCATCTTCTCTCTCATGGCAAAGTCATTTGCCACTTTACTTCATTTTCATCATCATCATCATCATCATCATCATCCCCTACAATACCCCATTCCGTCTGTAGGTCTGGAGGTAGTCAGAGGAGATTCCTCAACATAGTGTACCTCTCAGAGCGTCCTTAATACCAAGACGCACGAAACTAGGCGTCAAAGATCGTAGATTTACTAAGTTCAATGGGGAATACAGTGCTAAAAGAATTGGTATGTTTAGTGTGACATACTTAGTGATATTTCATATATTAATACAATATGGTTTAAATATGTTGGTGCGTCATCTGTACATGCACTAGGGTAAATATATAAGAACATGAGAACATAAGAATGGAGGAAACTGCAGCGGGCCTATTGGCCCATACTGGGCAGTCCCGATTACACCCAACCCCTATTGCTCATATAAGCATCCAACCTATGTTTGAAGCTATCCAGCGTATTCGAGTTAATGATGATGTTTGATAACTTGTTCCATTCATCCACTACTCTGTTTCCAAACCAGTGTTTGCCTATTTCGCGCCTAAATCTAAATTTGTTTAATTTAAAACCAGTGTTACGAGTTCGCTCCTGGTTGGATAGTTTGAGTACCTTTGTAATGTCCCCTTTGTTTAGCCCTGACTTCCATTTATACACCTCTATCAAGTCGCCCCTCGCTCTACGTCTCTCGAGGGAGTGCAAATTAAGATGCTTTTACCTGTCTCTATACTCAAGGTTCCTAATGCCCGGGATTAGTCTTGTCATTCTTCCCTGAATTCTTTCCAAGGATTCTATATCCATTCTGTAATACGGTGACCAGAACTGAACTGCGTAATCCAGGTGAGGTCTCACAAGCGCAAGATATAATCATAAGATGACCTCGCTAGTCTTGTAACTAACACTCCTTTGTATGATCCCAAGTACTTTATTAGCCTTGTTACGAGCAAAAACACATTGTTTACTTGGCTTAAGGTTCCTACTTATCATTACTCCTAAATCTCTAAAGCAGTCGGATTTCTCAATGGCATCGCTGTTCATCTGGTATCTGGTTTCCCTGTTTACACCTCCTATACTGAGTACTTTACATTTGTCCACGTTGAATTTCATCTGCCATTTTTCAGACCATTCGAAAAATTTGTTCAGATACTTCTGTAGTTTTGCGGAGTCCTCGTCAGATTTAATAACACGTCCTATTTTAGTGTCATCAGCAAATTTACTTATGCAGATATCTATGTCGTTTATGTATATAATAAATAATAATGGTCCAAGTACTGACCCTTGGGGAACTCCACTAGTGACGTTGCTCCAATGGGACTTAGTGCGGTTAATGCTCACTCGCTGTTTCCTGTCCTGTAACCACGCCCTAATCCATTTGAGGATATTACCTTTGATGCCATGTGCTTCTACCTTTCTAATTAGTCTTTCGTGGAGGACTCTGTCGAAGGTTTTGCTAAAGTCGAGATATACCACATCATAATTATGTCCCTCGTCCACCGTTTCGAAAACTGCTGAAAAAAATGTTAATAGATTAGTTAGACATGAACGCCCGCTTATGAAGCCATGCTGAGAATCATTGATCAATTGGCGCATCTCCAGGTGATTTCGAATACAGTTTGAAATTATTGCTTCCAGTAATTTGCCTACTATTGATGTTAGACTGATTGGACGGTAGTTAGAGGATAGTGATCTATCCCCCTTCTTGAAAATCGGTATAACATTCGCTATCCTCCAGGATTCTGGTACTACACCTGTTTTTAAGGACATGTTAAACAACTTTGCTAAGGGCATACTATGCTCTTCCTTACATTCCTTTAATACTCTGGCAAATATCTCATTGGGACCAGGTGACTTATTAGGCTTTAGTTTGTCTATTTGCTTACTAACATCGTTCCTAGTCACTACTATCTCGTTTAATTTGTTTTCTTCACTATCTCTGAATATAGTTGGTGCTTCAGGTATCATGTTTATATTTTCGGTGGTGAAAACTGTTGAAAAATATTTATTCAGATTATTGCTCATTTCTCCGTCGTTATCAGTTAGCTCGCCGGTATCTGACTGTATTGGTCCAATCGTTTCTCGTGCTTTAATGTGACCATCGGGAAGTTGTTACTTGTCTCCCGGCACCTGTATGTAGATCTCATTCTTGACTCTCGGCCTTAGTTGTTGAAGCTCAGTAATAACACATAGGGTCAACGTCTGGCAGCTCACTCTTACTATATCTCCTGAAGATGTGAATAATCACGAAAGCGCTTGGATCTTGTTCGCGCTTCTGGGTCCTGGTGGTCACCAATATCTTATATGAACCATGTTACAGATATGGCTCCTCATCCTAGCATCAATGGTTGCGGTCGTGGTGGGGATTTTCTTCATTGAATGGGGTGAGAGCTTCCTCCTCCGTCCACAACAAAGGTAAACAAACAATGATATCTTAAAAACCTAAGTTTAAACTAACTGAAAGTGAAACTTTATTTAGCTAGATAACCGAAGATATACATTAGAGAATACATACGAGACTTTCATGGCAAATCCTTTTGAGAGTTGAAGTTTTCTTGATGAGGTATCTTAAATTTATACTTAAATATCGAGCAGTTAATCTGATACACAACGTGCATATAATCTTGCCCAGAAATGTACGATTTTCACTTATACACTTAGTAAATCGTCTAAACAGTATGCTGTACTTTTTTTTTCGTGTAATGACGATGGCTAAAAGCTTCTGTCTGTTTCGTCAGTATATTGCATTCAATACCTAACAACTGAGACGCAGCACTAGAAACTTTAAATTCAGAATACGATGGAATTTTAGCCACCTTGCTATAACTGGCGATTCTGACATGTCACTTCCCGACTCACTGACTTTGCCGAGGCTTGCGTAAGGTACATAGAGAAGATTGATAAGGTGTAACTTAAATGAGTGAGTGAAAAATATTGTGTTATAGGAAATATAAGCGTTTTCCTAGAATGACATACATCTATATTTGATGAAGAAAAACATGAAGCGTTAATGTTATCATAGTTTAAAAACGTCAAGTTTGTAGAAAATTTGTGTTCTTCATATGCTGATTTCAAGACCGATTTTGTCAACAGATCGATTTCTGAACAGTAACCAGCCGTTATGTCTGTGTGGTGTCTGAGGCTCCTCTTATAGTATAACAGTAACCAGCCGTTATATTTGTGTGGTGCCTGAGGCTCCTCTTATAGTATAACAGTAACCAGCCGTTATATCTGTGTAGTGCCTGAGGCTCCTCTTATAGTATAACAGTAACCAGCCGTTATATTTGTGTGGTGCCTGAGGCTCCTCTTATAGTATAACAGTAACCAGCCGTTATATCTGTGTGGTGCCTGAGGCTCCTCTTATAGTATAACAGTAACCAGCCGTTATATTTGTGTGGTGCCTGAGGCTCCTCTTATAGTATAACAGTAACCAGCCGTTATATATGTGTGGTGCCTGAGGCTCCTCTTATAGTATAACAGTAACCAGCCGTTATATATGTGTGGTGCCTGAGCTCCTCTTATAGTATAACAGTAACCAGCCGTTATATTGTGTGGTGCCTGAGGCTCCTCTTATAGTATAACAGTAACCAGCCGTTATATATGTGTGGTGCCTGAGGCTCCTCTTATAGTATAACAGTAACCAGCCGTTATATCTGTGTGGTGTCTGAGGCCTCCTCTTATATCTGTGTGGTGCATCCTCTTAATAACAGTAACCAGCCGTTATGTCTGTGTGGTGTCTGAGGCTCCTCTTATAGTATAACAGTAACCAGCCGTTATATCTGTGTGGTGCCTGAGGCTCCTCTTATAGTATAACAGTAACCAGCCGTTATATCTGTGTGGTGCCTGAGGCTCCTCTTATAGTATAACAGTAACCAGCCGTTATGTCTGTGTGGTGTCTGAGGCTCCTCTTATAGTATAACAGTAACCAGCCGTTATATCTGTGTGGTACCTGAGGCTCCTCTTATAGTATAACAGTAACCAGCCGTTATATATGTGTGGTGCCTGAGGCTCCTCTTATAGTATAAAGTAACCAGCCGTTATACCTGAGGCTCCTCTTATAGTATAACAGTAACCAGCCGTTATATCTGTGTGGTGCCTGAGGCTCCTCTTATAGTATAAAAGTAACCAGCCGTTATATCTGTGTGGTGCCTGAGGCTCCTCTTATAGTATAACAGTAATCAGCCGTTATATCTGTGTGGTGCCAGAGGCTCCTCTTATAGTATAACAGTAACCAGCCGTTATATCTGTGTGGTGCCTGAGGCTCCTCTTATAGTATAAAAGTAACCAACCGTTATACCTGAGGCTCCTCTTATAGTATAACAGTAACCAGCCGTTATATCTGTGTGGTGCCTGAGGCTCCTCTTATAGTATAACAGTAACCACCCGTTACATATGTGTGGTGCCTGAGGCTCCTCTTATAGTATAACAGTAACCAGCCGTTATATATGTGTGGTGCCTGAGGCTCCTCTTATAGTATAACAGTAACCAGCCGTTATATATGTGTGGTGCCTGAGGCTCCTCTTATAGTATAAAAGTAACCAGCCGTTATATATGTGTGGTGCCTGAGGCTCCTCTTATAGTATAACAGTAACCAGCCGTTATATCTGTGTGGTGCCTGAGGCTCCTCTTATAGTATAACAGTAACCAGCCGTTATATCTGTGTGGTGCCTGAGGCTCCTCTTATAGTATAACAGTAACCAGCCGTTATATCTGTGTGGTGCCTGAGGCTCCTCTTATAGTATAACAGTAACCAGCCGTTATATCTGTGTGGTGCCTGAGGCTCCTCTTATAGTATAACAGTAACCAGCCGTTATATCGCAAATGAAAAAGCAGTTGCCTGAAACCACTCTTATGATATAACAGCGCCAGCCGTTATATATCTGTGTGGTGCTGAAACCTCGCAAAATAACAGTAACCAGCCGTTATATCTGGGTGGTGCGCAGGCTCTCTTATAGTATAACCCAGTAACCAGCCGTTATGCTATGTGTGTGGTGCCTGAGGCTCCTCTTATAGTATAACAGTAACCAGCCGTTATATATGTGTGGTGCCTGAGGCTCCTCTTATAGTATAACAGTAACCAGCCGTTATATCTGTGTGGTGCCTGAGGCCTCTTATAGTATAACAGCAACCAGCCATATATCGTAGTATAACAGTCTGTTATATCTGGGTGGTGCCTGAGGCTCCTCTTATAGTATAACAGTAACCAGCCGTTATATCTGTGTGGTGCCTGAGGCTCCTCTTATAGTATAACAGTAACCAGCCGTTATATCTGTGTGGTGCCTGAGGCTCCTCTTATAGTATAACAGTAACCAGCCGTTATATCTGGGTGGTGCCTGAGGCTCCTCTTATAGTATAACAGTAAACACATAGTTCAAAATCTTAATCTTCCATAAGTCATAGCATAAGATAATTCTATTGATGTAAGTTTACAGTGATTGAGCCTCGGCCATTTTCATCTACATCAAAAAATAATGATAGTATTTAAAATTTAATCACCTTTACTGAGAGAAAGAGGAAATTTGCATATTTTGAAGTTATCCTGTCATGCTGTATGGCAGTAATGTAAGAACATGTACTTGACAGTGATGGCTGGGAGTCGTATGGGAGTGTGGGTCCTCTCACCGTGGCCTGGACCTCCTGCCTCTGGACGTTGGGCGCTGCTGTTGCTCAGTGTGAGTGTTGTGTGTCCTTAGTACAGTACACGGGAGGTTACTGTTACTACATGGTATATGGGTGGTCAAGGTGAGTGTTGTGTGTCCTTAGTACAGTACACGGGAGGTTACTGTTACTACATGGTATATGGGTGGTCAAGGTGAGTGTTGTGTGTCCTTAGTACAGTACACGGGAGGTTACTGTTGCTACACGGTATACGGGTGGTCAAGGTGAGTGTTGTGTGTCCTTAGTACAGTACACGGGAGGTTACTGTTACTACATGGTATATGGGTGGTCAAGGTGAGTGTTGTGTGTCCTTAGTACAGTACACGGGAGGTTAACATTGAGGTAAGTTGAGGTAAGTAGCTATGTCTGTCCTCTCGGCACGACCTGTTATAACCATTAATGTTGATGACATACATGTCACCGTTGCTTCCGTTCTCCAGCAGCTGCTTAATAAATGTGAAGCGTTTGTGGCTAAACGTGATGTTATTCATTACATGGCCTGAGCAGTCCATCATTATACTACTCAAGAAGTCATATGTAAATCATACACAATGAATGTGATAAGCTTCGTTGTAGCTCTTTCGCTTTTGTTGAAAGTTCTACTTACTGGATTTTGGCTACATAATGATTAATTATAGTATAGATTATAGTGATATTAATATATATTTCTTCCGAAGCTGTTGATGTTATCTGTACAGTATTGTGAACCGCTACGGTCGAGTTACTGTTTACAGACTTTGAATAGCGTGACAACCATTTATGAAAGCTCCCAGATTGAATACTGGTTTAATCTGTTGGGTGGGTGTGGCATTGGGGCACTGCAGGATGGATATGGTTGAACTGGCCCTTTAACCGTTGATTCCTTCTAGGTTAATGGGGCTGGAACATGTAAAAGTATATAGGGTTTGAATAGCGAAACCCAGTTGTCTGTTCTCTATTTATTGAGGAACTATCTCATAAGAACATAAGAATGGAGGGAACTGCAGCGGGCCTATTGGCCCATACTGGGCAGTCCCGTTTCACCCAACCCCTATTGCTCATATGAGCGTCCAACCTATGTTTGAAGCAATTCAGCGTATTCGAGTTAATGATGATATTTGGTAACTTGTTCCATTCATCCACTACTCTGTTTCCAAACCAGTGTTTACCTAATTCGCGCCTAAATCTAAATTTGTCTAATTTAAAACCATTGTTACGAGTTCGCTCCTGGTTGGATAATTTGAGTACCTTTGTAATGTCCCCTTTGATTAGCCCTGCCTTCCACTTATACACCTCTATCAGGTCGCCCCTCGCTCTACGTCTCTCAAGGGAGTGCAAATTAAGATGCTTTAACCTGTCTCTATACTCAAGGTTCCTAATGCCCGGGATTAGTCTTGTCATTCTCCTCTGAATTCTTTCCAAGGATTCTATATCCATTCTGTAATACGGTGACCAGAACTGAACTGCGTAATCCAGGTGTGGTCTCACAAGAGCAAGATACAGCTTTAGGATGACCTCGCTAGTCTTGTAACTAACACTCCTTTGTATGAACCCAAGTACTTTATTAGCCTTGTTACGAGCAAAAACACATTGTTTATTTGGCTTAAGGTTCCTACTTATCATTACTCCTAAATCTCTCTCGCAGTCGGATTTCTCTATGGCATCGTTGTTCATCTGGTATCTGGTTTCCCTGTTTACATCTCCTATACTGAGTACTTTACATTTGTCCACTTTGAATTTCATCTGCCATTTTTCAGACCATTCGAAAAATTTGTTTAGATCTTCCTGTAGTTTTGCCAAGTCCTCGTCAGATTTGATAACACGTCCTATTTTAGTGTCATCAGCAATTTACGTATGTTGCTGTCTATGCCGATATCTATGTCGTTTATGTATACAATAAACAATAATGGTCCAAGTACTGAGCCTTGGGGAACTCCACTTGTGACGTTGCTCCAATGGGACTTAGTGCCGTTAATGCTCACTCGCTGTTTCCTGTCCTGTAACCACGCCCTAATCCATTTAAGGATGTCACCTTTTGATATGAGCTTCACCTTCTAATTAGTCTTTCGTGGGGACTCTGTCGAAGGCTTTACAAAGTCGAGATATACCACATCATAATTGTGCCCCTCGTCCACCGATTCGAAAAACTGATGAAAAGAATGTTAATAGATTAGTTAGGCAAGAACCCGCTTGTGAAGCCATGCTGGGAATCATTGATCAATCGGTGCTTCTCCAGGTGATTTCGAATAGAGTTTGAAATGATTGCTTCCAGTAATTTGCCTACTATTGATGTTAGACTGATTGGGCGGTAGTTAGAGGATAGTGATCTATCCCCCTTCTTGAAAATCGGTATTACATTCGCTATCCTCCAGGATTCTGGTACTACACCTGTTTTTAAGGACATGTTAAACAACTTTGCTAAAGGCATACTAAGCTCTTCCTTACATTCCTTTAATACTCTGGCAAATATCTCATCGGGACCAGGTGACTTATTAGGCTTTAGTTTGTCTATTTGCTTACTAACATCGTTACTAGTCACTACTATCTCACTTAATTTGTTTTCTTCACTATCTCTGAATAGAGTCGGTGCCTCGGGTATCATGTTTAAATTTTCGGTGGTGAAAACTGTTGAAAAATATTTATTCAAATTATTGCTCATTTCTCCGTCGTTATCAGTGAGCTCGCGGAGTCTGACCGTATTGGTCCAATCTTTTCTCGTGTTTTAGTTTGATACATTTGGTAGAATCCTTTGGGGTTTGTCTTCGCCTCCCTTGCTATCCTTACCTCATTATTCCTCTTTGCTTTCCTTATCTCGGTTTTAACCCTACTCGTAATATTCTATAATAGTCCCGGAGGTGAATTTCGCCACGATTTATCCTTCTACCTATAGCCTTCCTTTGGCCAATGATGTTCTTTAAATAATTATTTATCCATTTAGGGTCATTGTTGTCTGATCTGAGTTTTTTGTATGGTATGTTCTGTCTTTGTGCATTAAGTAACTCACTATTTAAATTGTCGTGGAACTCGGCAATCTCAGATCTCGTTATCAGGTCGGTGTCATCTGTCAGGTTCACGGCCAAGCGCGACACCCCTTCTCTCAGCTGCCTCTTTAAACTGTCAAAGTTTGCCCTTCTGAAATCTGGTACTTTAGTGGAATTTTCCTTACGTCTGCCCTGAAAATCTAACTGGAATCGAATTTCTTTGTGATCGCTGTTTGCAAGTTCGTTCCCTACTTCTACATTGCTAATGAGGTTTTCTCTGTTTGACAGAACTAAATCCAGTATATTATTACCCCGTGTGGGTTCAGTTATATGTTGACTTAGGAAACAGTCCTGGATCGTCTCGAGAAAATCCTCTGATTCTGAGTTACCCGTAAGGTCAAGGTCAGTCCAATCTATTTGGCCAAGGTTAAAGTCGCCTACTATACAGACTTTGTTGTGTATGGAAGCCCTGCACATTTCATCCCAGATAAGTCGCTCATTGACTCTATCAAGATTGGGGGGTCTATATATTACTCCTGTGATTAATTTTTCCCGACCGTCGCTTAATTCTATCCAAATTGTTTCTGTATTCCTCTCAGTTTTTATTTCCTTATTTATTTCACACTTCAGATTATCCCTAAAATAGATTGCTACTCATAGACAGTTCCAAGTGTATATCACCTTAACTTAATCACTGTAGCTCTGAGTGTTAAGATGAAGACGGAGGCTATATTAAAGAGCTCTTCTTTCTACGTCCGGTTGGTGTGAGGTGTTGAGTGACAATCCACAGGGAACCGGCTTTTAAATGCTGACCTTAACATTCTTAGGGTCGCGCCTCAAGGAACTTACCCATCACGTGATGTGACAATATCACTTCATAGCCAAAGGAAAGTTACAGGGGGTGATATGATTATGTAAACACATTGTACTGCCCTGACATCTATATACGAACTAAGGGGCTAATACATGGTGCTGGGGAACTGTGGGCTGGGTGCGGTGTTGGGGCACTGGACTGGGCGTGGTACTGGGGCACTGTGGGCTGTGTGCGGTGTTGGGGCACTGGACTGGGCGTGGTACTGGGGCACTGTGGGCTGTGTGCGGTGTTGGGGCACTGGACTGGGCGTGGTACTGGGGCACTGTGGGTTGTAGTGGTGTTGGAGAACTGCATCTACCCGATTCGGTGTAGAAAAAAAAACACATGACAAAAATTCCAGCGATGCCAACTCACAGGGATGTTCGTATCATTTCAAGTTCTATATAAACCCACGTGAGTATATGGAAGAGCACATAATTATACTGTGGCAATTCTATTTTACAGAATATTTACCTCCCAGCACTCATTTATAATCCGCACTAACACTGTGTGGAACTCCCTATCTCAGGGTAAATTCCTATGCCCTATACTGTAACCTCCATTAGCTTAAAATATCCTCATTAAAATATCTTTAATGCTTGCCAAGGGTAAACCTTAAGAACAAAACAAAGCCTGATCTCTACCTGCGTTAAATATAATTATTTAAATTAATAAAGTCTTGCTTTCACAGCGTTACTACACTGTTATTGACATGAGTAATACTTCATAACAGTTACCTAGCTGATGATGACAGTGATCACTGACCAAACTGAGTCTATTAACTTCAGTACGTGTTTATGATCGACTGTTTTAAGTAGTGCGAAAAAATTATCACAAGTTTCACTATAATCTTATAGGTGTAACTTTATCTGTCAACAGCGTCAACTTGGTCGCCACAGAGGGACTCTGTCCGACTTCTTTCTGGCCTGTGGCTGCTGATATCAGTCATCTTAAGCCTAGTTTACCGCTGTAACCTGAAGGCGATGCTCATCATGCCCAAGGTTCAAGTCCCCTTCAACAGCCTCGAGGAGTTGATGGAGACGGACATCCACGTGGTTTTACCTAAAGGGACGCTGATTCATGAGTTTGTAACGGTATGTAAACCTTGATATCTACCAAATCTCGTAAGAATTTCTACTGTTCTCTAGTTTTGCTTAGGATGGATGAAGAGAATCTGATATTTTGGTACGAGATTATTAACAGTGGTGTAGTTACAAATAACCGAGGTATACATAATAGGATCATTTATAAGGATATACTTAACAAGATATTTTGACACATTCTGATAATTTTGTTCAAATCAGACGTGGTGAGAGTAAAGACTTAACACTATAAAACAGGTGTTCCTTTATGGCTGCCATCCTTACAGGTGTTCCTTTATGACTGCTATCTTTACAGGTGTTCCTTTATGGCTGCCATCTTTACAGGTGTTCTTTTATGGAAAAACAGTCTGACAGGTTACCGAGGGAGAAGCAGTCTAACTGAACGTTCATCCAATATATCACAGCCTTCTTGGACTAACATGATACATAACTTGCCAACATCTACAAAGCAACCAACAGATTTGTACAGAGTTTGGCGTAAGAGTAAAGAACACAGCTGACTTATGAGATGTAAAACGGAACATTAAACGCTACTAAGTGATACACACATTAACGTAATCGTCACCATGTTTATATAATCTGTGAGAATGTCACGTAATATGTACAGAACTAAAGTGCTGAATAAACTGATAGTCCCTTATTGTATATACTTAGATATTTTATAAACTTGTAGTGTCTTAGTATGTGTGCTTATGGACTTCCTATACTTATTTACACATTTAGTGAATAAAACCAAACGCCATATTACTATATCAATATGGTAGCAAGTCACCGCTGGAGAGACACAGGTGAAGGTAAATTTGGCTGGACCAGAGACTCACACCAAGAGTTGGATTAAAGTGTTTGGTGGAAACAAATAAACATGACGAAGATACCTAGACAAAAAGGAGAGAGAGAGAGAAAAGTCAACAGAAATGAGGGGGTTGGGCAGACAGTTAACGAGGGATATAAATTTCAAAGCCAATAGACGATAAGAACACAATGACCTCCTTGTACTGTACAGGTCGCTCCACCCGGCTCCTTGCTCCACCAAGTCAATGAGCGTATCGTACTTCACACTAGTCCACCTCGCGCGATGAAGGAAGGCAGCGCTGGATTATACGCTGTCATTGCCACTGATTATGTACTGCAATCTCTTTTTCACGATTTATTCTCAATGGTAAGACTTTTTTTTGGATAATGAGTCGTAGGTAGAACTTAGTATGCACAGGGAACTAACATAAAGTACTGTAACTTAATGTTTAAGTGTGTGGGTTTAATGATCCCGCCTGTTGCTTCCCTTATTTTGTTATCACTTTTTGTAACTTTAAAACCTTTTTCTCTGCTTCTTTTTCCATTGATCGAGGTTTCTCTTTCTCTTAATTCACACCAAACAAACGTGGGAAAAAGGGACAAATAGCAGATAGACCTGGATTTTTTCTCCATGTTTCATTTACTAAGGTTATTTACACTGTTTTAGGTGCGCTTAACATTTAAGAGTTACCATGCTAAGAACAATGCTGGATCCTCACTACTTCTGCTTCCTTATCTATGTTCAATTCACTTAATTCATCATAACTTAAAGTTCAAGAATCTTCACATTATATTATGAACTTTTCTTATTATAGAATTTACGGATCTTGTATACTGTGAAGACTGACCCTGGTAGTAGTTAAAGAAAGCAGTGGTAATACTGGTTCACTGTAATAAGAAAGTAAATATATTAATAATAACAAAATGTATTTTTTGTCTTTTGATATCATTCCATTTTTCGTTAATTACTTTTTATATATTTTTTGTATTTCTTACAACAATATTTGCAGATGTTTCTTTTTGCCTTACATGTTAATATACTCGTATGTTACAGACAAATTCCTGTCCCATGTATATTGCGTCTGAGCCTGTCTTCACCGGGGTCCCCTCTGGCTTAGCATTCACCAAGGGCTCGCCTCTCAAACACGCGGTAGACCCCATGTAAGTTTGAGTTTGAGTTTATTATGTGATAAAAGGTATTCAAGAGCTTGTTAAATATGATGAGACATACTGCAACACCTACTGTAGATGGGTAAGATATTGGTTTCTAAGCTACATAAATATTTAACCACGTCTTTTCTACATCAGGTTTTATAACTAAAGCATTCTGTCTAAACATTTCCTTCCCATTGTCTCATTATGTTCAAAACACCTGAGCAAACCATGACTTCCTCCTTGCCAGACACTTTTTACTACTTCTTACTCCGGTATTTCTCATTCTCTTCTTCCTATTCACCCCACATATTGCTCTCTAGCGTGTTCCTTGGCAGCGAAACATGGGTCACATACAGGAGGCACCTCAAGGCACTTGAAAACTTTCACCAACGTAGTTTACGTTCCATCCCCCAAGTTCACCGGGAAGACAAGATAACAAATGCCAGTATTCTCGCTGACACCAACTGAAGGAGGATCGAGGCTACCATTATCCATGGACAACTACGCTGGACTGGCCATGTTACCCGCATGGATGACAGTAGACTGCCAAAGCAGCTACTTTACAGTCGCCTCACGAATATTAAACGTAACGCTATAGGGCAACTGAAAAGGTATAAGGATAGTCTTAAGACAAACTTGAAAAAGTGACAAATCGACCCTCTCACCTGTGAAACGATTACTCCACACGAGAAGGTTTCAATACTTTCGAGCTGGCCCGACTGCATACCACGGCAGACAAGCGAAATTCGCTGCCGCCGCCCCTCCCGCACTAGATGTAGCCCTCCACGGGTGCAACATCTGTGGATGATCCTGCTGGTCCCGTATCGGCCTCTCTAGTCACCTCAGAGGTCACCAACGAGGGTGACATCTTTAATAACTCATATGATTTTATCATAGCTGGGTGATCGTCATATTCGATTCCGAGTGCCAGCAAAGTAGTAGTGTGTGTGTGTGTGTATGGATGAAGGGGAGAGTTTGGACTTCACGAGTAAGTGGTTGAATAATAGTTATAGAATTTTTAAATGATTCGATAAAATTAAGATGAAACGTGTTTATGAAGAAGAGGAAGTTACAGGATACAGATTGGGAGTTTGTTGTAGAGAATAGAGTTCGTTAGGACAGCATAATGGTTTTGCGGGAGAAAGTAGAGAAAGGACTGTGCCTCCCACAGCTTGGAAGAACAAAGTCGTTGTAGGTCAAGTGATAAGATATAATTTGTTAGAAGTCAAAGGAAATAAAAACAATGTGTCTCACCTATAAGACAATTACAGTAAATAATTGATAATGATTCTTGTATAACTCTCTTACAGTCTTGGTACGAGATGACTCAAACTTATAGTGAAGGGGGAGGGGTGTACACTGTACAGGAGAAGCCAGTCCACTGTAACCTGGTGAAGTACTGAGTCTAAGACGAGTACAAGCAAAAGTAAACTAATATGTTGTTTTTGTATTACAGTCTAAGAAGACTTCTGGAATTTGGTATCGTCCAGCATTTGTATGATGCTGCAACACGTAATGGAACCGTTTGTTTTAAGCCTGAGTCCTTCACCAGACCCAAAAACAGCCTTCGGCCACTGGAACTGGAGGACTTTTATGGCGTCTTCGCTGTTTATGCCGGAGGTGAGGAACCCCGAGACTTGCCGCTAAGGTCATTCACGTTAAGTTTCTAAACATTAAATAGAGAGATCAACAGAGTGTAGTTCAGTATATGAAATTATGTGACAATAAAAGGTTAATAATCATCGTCTGATCCATAATGACACAGTCTTGAGTGTTAGATCTTTACTAAAAATTTATTTCAGAACCGGCAACTAAGGATTCGTAAATGTTGTTTAACATATTGGAGGAGATGAGGAGTTTTGATCTTAGAGGTAAAAGGTTGAGAAATAGTAGTTATACATTAAATATTTTAACCATACAAAAACCCACATCTCCCTTGAAACCAAATTACTTATTCTGTGAAATATTTATATTGATCATTATATCTCCTATCTCTCAATCCTAACTTTAATAAAACCTTTAAGTCAAAGTTCACATTGTCAGAGAGTAACTGATAGTCGTCATCGGCCGTGGACCACCAACTAAATACCTGTAGGGCATAAAAAGTGATTTTGTGACCCCAACTAGAAATTTAATAAATCAACCAAGGTACTATTTTCATGGCTGAGGATTATGACCATTGCTCTCCACTCTAAATGTCTTGGGGCTGTATTCCTCAATTCACCCAGATTTTATTTATTTTTTCCTGCCGGACTCCAGTATTTAATAACATTCATTTGTCCCAGTCTTTGGTATCTACTAGCTCTCGTTCATTTTGTGTTCCCTTAATTTGTTTTTCTGTCAATACATTTATGAACATCCTCCTGTACAAGTATACTATGGGAAATCCTCGAGTCTTTTGGTCACTAAAAATAAATACTTTTCTGTCCCATACAAAAAAAAAGAACTGAGTTTTGCTTTAATGTGCTTTGTCATCTTCACAAATACAAAGAATCTTATGTTAGTTCCCAAATAGACAAAATTTAATGTACGCTACAATCCCTGTTGCCTCTCATAATGTGTATTTTATTGTTTACTTTTAATGTGGGAAGTTTGGTGTATGCTCGCGTGAGATGGACTTGTTTAGATATGGGTACTGTACATTAGGGTTGCTGGGGGTACTAGATCAGTGGGGCCAGCAGGGAACTTCCTTATGCTCCTTTTTATAGAAAATGTATTTAAGTGTTATCCTCAGCAGATAATAATGTAAGTGTGGTAGAAGAGACCAGAGGTAAGGACAGATAGAAACTTGTTGGGGTGTTTAGTCAGTTGAGACTAAATTAGTTCCAGGAAGGTTGGGTCAGTAAAATAAAGTATCGCGACTCATGCTGTACTCTATCTTCTGGAACACAGAATGAAATATTTTGACATATATCCTGGGTATGATGATGTCATTTAGTGGTCTTCCTTGGATGTTTCGTTTCTGTGTCGACCTTCCATTTCTGTTGGATGATTTTTATATAATGAATTGGCTGCAACACTTATATACCACTTCGGTTTTGATTGTACAATAAAAGAGTCGAATCCAAGTCGAATTCCTTAAATCGAGACCACCAGTCATGCTTCGAGATCATCTAACTAAAAGAAAATACATATTGATATCCGTAAGAAAAAGTCTTTGAATTAAATTGTCATAACCAAAGGGTAAAGGAGAAATACAACATAATCTCTGTATTGTTTAATTCAACATTTGCTACATGTTGGTTTCCTCCCATTCATACTGTACATATTATTTAGGATATGAAACTATTTCGTTCAAGTCACAAACAATCATTCAAGTCACAAACAATCATTCCCACTGCATACCACAAACAACACCCAACTCATTCACCAGTAAAGTAACACTGAGCACCTGACCGTTCATTTCAGTGCAAATATTAGGTTTAGTATTGTTTTAGTACTTTAGTCTAAATCACAGAACAAGGAACGATAAAGGATATGATCTCTTTAGACAGTACTTGCCCCTTCCAATTTCCACCGGATCTTAGGCTCGTGATACCCTTGGGCTTGGTACAAATACCTCAACTGGAGAATATGAGAGAGAAAAACCTGGACTATACACATGAAGCTTCTAAACCTATATATTGGTTTGAAGAACAAGGAAAATCTGAGTCGTAGCAAGAATAACCACAATAGTACCTCTGGCCGCTAATATACATATCTCAGTGTAGGATAAAAAGCATTAGTAATGAGCATATATTTACACTTTTATTATGAATTTTGATTATTATGGGTAATAAATGATGTGTGATGGAGGGACGGACTATAGAAGGACAATCTCAATATTCCCATAGAATGTGTTAAAGCCATGACCAAGATATGACAAAGAGGAAATGTAGCATTATTGGTGTTAACAATATTCTAGAATGTCCTTGATCCAGTGATCGTGTGCATAGAGCAATGTTTTGTGTGTTGTGCTGTTAATATGTATGTTGTGTGTAAATTGTTACTAAGATTTGTACTTTTCCTCTTTCTTGTACTACAGTCCACATACAATGTTATTGTCAGTAATATGAGTGTCTAATAAACCTGTCTGAAGCCATAATTATCTTGAATAATTATATATTCTTAATATCATCGCAGGTCGTTCTAAGCACAAATTCTGTTTTACTTTTATTACAAAGAATTACATTATGACTTATTCTACCTATCGATGAACACTGCAAACAAGTTTATATACAGATAAAATTTATCATGATAAATAAATTGTCAGTTCAGGCCACGTGTGGACAGCCTTTAGGATACCATTAAGATACATAAGTTATGAAGCTGGACAATATTTCATAACTAAGAAGTGATCATCTCCACCAGGAATGTTGTTGGCGTCTGTGGTGCTGCTGGTGGAAGTGACTCCCAAGGGTCGCTAGAGACCCAAAGGTCATCCTGGAGTCAAAGGTCAACATGGACTGCAACACTGACCTTGGGGTCGGCGGTGTTAGTGTTGGATACATTAAAGATCATCTGCACTAACACACTGATCATCACCTTAAGTAATGAAGTAAACAACTTTATTTAAAGAAAGAAATTGTAAGAACGGTAGAATATAGTTGTCTTGGTTTTATAATTGTGTTTAACATTTATGAGCAAAATAAAACTTTTTGATGATTTTAAGTAAATTTTCTATCAAATAAGAAAATCCTCTTTGATTATGAATAGCAAGACATTTTAGACTTCAGATTCTCCAGCACCTGAAGGTAATACAGTAGTTCTAACAAAGTTTGTTTTCTAGTTACGTATAGTATCTACACATTAAGTATATTCACGTTTTATTGTGTGAGTTTCCTTGATATGAGACCATTCAGAGAATAAACAAGTCATTCGCGACCACCTTCCCCACCCTCCTCTAAACGTCAACTATGGCACTATCGGAGGGCAAACTGGCAATCCTTGCGAGAATTCTTTTTCGACTTTCCCTGGGATGAATGTTGCTTTTCTACTCAGGGCGCCTCGGTATGTGCTGACAGCATTGCTGGGGTTATACAGGGTGTTATGAGTGCATTTATCCCATCTTCTACCAAAACTTTCACTTCACAATCATGGTTTGATCGCTCCTGTTCTCTTGCATTTAAGGAGAGAGATAGTGAATATCAAGTTATGAAACTATCTCCTCCTGTTACCCGCTCCTCTTTCATTATTTCTAGTAATCGCTGTAAGGCTATTCTTCGTAGGGCCAAACAGAATTTTATAAAAAGAAAGACCGCTGTCCTGACTAACTCTTCTAAATCCTTCTGGTCCGTAACCAAAAAACATCTGTAATAATTTCTGCACTCCCTCTTTTCCTCCTCTCTTCCGACCTGATAACTCTATAGCCAACTCTCCCCTTGATAAAGCCAATCTCTTTGGCACCTTATTCTCCTCTAACTCCACCTTAGACGATTCCAACTCTATCCCTCCTACCCCTGCTCCTCCTACTGAACTTATGCACTTTCCTATAATCTCCACTCGCAGGGTTGCCGGTGTGTTATCCAGGTTGGATGTGAGTAAGGCGCATGGACCGGACGGAATATCCCCTCGTGTTCTGAGGGAGTGTGCTGAAGTTCTGGCCCCTGTGCTTGCTCGCCTCCTTCGCCTTTGCCTCAAAAACTAAACTTTTCCTTCTTCTTGGAAGCATGCCTAGGCTCAGCCCATCCTGAAGAAGGATGACTATTCCAATCCCTCTAACTATCGCCCCATTGCCCTAACTTCATCCCTCTCTAAGATTTTCGAAACTATCTTAAACTCTCATTTTCTCTGTCACCTTGAACGCCATTCTCTTTTGTCAGATCACCAGTATGGCTTTCGCCAGGCGAGATCTACTGGTATCTGCTCTCCTGTTGCACCCATCTTTGGTCATCCTCTCTTAGGGATTATGGGGAAACTTTCGTCGTGGCCCTCGACATCTCCAAAGTATTTGACAGGGTGTGGCACAAGTCTTTGCTTTCTAAGCTTCCCTCTTATGGTTTCTCTCCCCCACCTTGTTCTCCAATTTCTAGCTTCCTTGAGAACCGATCCATGGCAGTTGTTGTCGAGTGATCGATCTCTCGCTCTTTCTCTACTAATAGTAGTGTCCCACAGGGTTCTGTTCTTTCACCTACTCTCTTCCTTCTTTTTATCAACGATTTACTTCATACTACGACGAATTCTATCCATTCTTACGCTGATGATTCTACTCTTTACTCTTCTCCACATTTTCCCCTTCTCCCTAATTTTCATAACTAGATCTGTTTCTAGAGCTGATATCATTACATCTATCAATGCGGATCAGTGTGCAGCATCTTCGAATGGGGAGGTACAAACTTGGTTAAATTCAATAGTAATAAAACTCAGTATTTACCAATTACACTTTCCACCAATCACATTCAGGACGCAATCATTCTGCCAAGTTCAAAAATAGATATGCTAGGCCTCACCATTTCCTCTAATATGTCTTGGAAGCCGCATAGCCTCAACATTGCTAAAGCTGCTTCCCGAAAGCTGGGAATGCTGTACAGATGCCGTAGCTACTTCACTCCTGAGCAGTTGTTTCAAGTATATATGGGGCTCATTAGTCTTAACTTGGAGTACTGCTCTCATATCGGGGGTGGCTCTTCTTCTGTCCAATTGTTAGATAGGGTGGAATCAAAGGCATTTCATCTTATTAACCCTCTTCCTTTAGTTGATAATCTCTCTTCCCCTTCTCTTCGCCGCAATGCTGCTTCAGTTCTCTCTCTTTTACAGGTACTTTAACTGGCAATGTTCGGTGGATTTGGCACCCTGTGTACCACCGGCAAGGCCGTGCGCTCGTAACACTCGTCTTGCCCGCGGTGCCCACCGTTTCTCTGTGGATGTCGGTCACACTAGAATAACCCGTTATAGTACACCCTTCTTTCCTCACACAGCCAAACTGTGGACAGCTCTGCCTTCTTCTGTTTCCATACTCATACAATCTGTCTCACTTCAAAAAGCTGGTTTTCCGGCATCTTTGTGGTGTAGATTAATATAATTTTTATCTTTTCTATTTTTAATTTCTTTCTATTCTCATCCCCCCCCCCCAGGCCCGTTGTGGGTCGATGACCTGTGCCAGGTGGGCTATTACCCGTAAAAAAAAAAAACATTATCTGAGACATAAATATCTCTTCTCTGTACTCCAAGCTCTTAATGTGCTGTTTGGGGGAACAAAGATGCTTCTTTCCTTGATGTCACCTTTTACATTAGTCCATGAGCCAGATACGTTTGTCGGTACCAAAAAGGACATAGTGTCTTTTATGATTTGTTGGTTTGTTGGTTAGTTTGATGTCTCTGGAGGTCAGAAATATGTGAAAGCAGTCTGGATCACACAGCTTTCAGTATGTTATCATCAATTTTAGGTATTAATCTCCAAAACGCTAATCACTACTCATATAGAAATGTATCTAAGTCACTCTTTTTTTACCTTTCACCAAACATTGAGTATTAAAGTTAGAGTTCTGGTTTTTACACTCCACTTAGCTTAGGTCTACACCCCTCTACTACAACAAACTACAAAATTATAACCTATATTGTTCCTGTCAAATACACCCTTGAAGTTTGAGAGACTAATATGCTATTTTTGCCAGTTTATTTTTAATGATATTTCCTCTTTTTATTTATATACAGGCCCTCTCTCTTACGTTGGGCCCTAGTTATGTGTTATGCAAGAGATTATTATGTCAATAATGTCAAAGATAATAGTTTGAAGGGCAATCAAAATACAAAGTTTAGGAATTATTTTCTTACAATATGGAATGGTAAAATAAAAAATTCTCCATTATACAAAACTGACAACATATTATATGTGGATACTTATATGTTTATCAAGAATGTCTGAGTAGTCTGCTATTATCTACGGCTGTGTAAACTTTGCAGAAGCCTGACAATTTCCAATACTTCTGTTTAAATTAATCTAGGTCATTAATTTCTAATACTTAATAGGACTGTTAATACCCATACTCTGATACCCATCATCCATATCATTTACAGACACAACATGGTTCACATCTTTACAAAATGCCTGATTTTCACAATTACTCACTGAACACATATCTGTACACTTCAGGCCGTTTGAAATGCAAACACAGGATGGCATTCTAGAAGACCTAGAACATGTGCAGGCCACCAAATCTGGGAGTGCCTAGGGTGCTGACTTTCCATCCACCCAGTCAACTGTGAACTCCTCTTCTATATCCACCTTTTCCACCTTTCAGCCTCTTCCCACTGGGTCAAATGTCTGGGGATCTCTCTCCAGTCTTCTCCTCCAAAGGGCAGCCTGAGTGTTTGGCCCTCTCTATATGCTTGTGTAAACAGCCTTTGCAAGGTGTCAACTGATAGCTTTCTGTTTCTCCTTTCCTTGAACAAAATATGTGGTGTCTCAGTTCATTGATCAATCTGGTTCAGGATTTAAATGAATATAGGAAGCAGGTGAACTCCTCTAGTCCCTCGCTCCCCAACCACCATGTTTTTTCCATGTCTTCTATAATGAGGTCATTTAGCTGTTCCCCATGAGGCAAGCAGTATATTTTCTTAAATTAATTCATGCAATGTTGACGAAGTTACAAGCCAGTTATAATATTAACAAAAGTTACCTGGGGTAATTTTCCATTGAAAAGATTCTACCTAGTGGCTGTGGCCTGTGGGAAATAATTAAGATATGAGCAGCATGACGTCATGCGCCTTCACGAATAGTTAAAATATGACTGGGAAGCCGTGGGGGACGTTTGGCTCCTGATTTAAATACGGGAATAAATATTAAAATAGTTGCTAGCCTTTCTCTTAAGAAATAAAGTAGCATCAGTGGAAAATTATGAGATTCAATCAGAAGGATGTTAAGTAGTTTCTGGGATGGATGCGAGGCCGTGTACTGTAAAGCACAAGGGTTCACTCTTTTCTCTTGACTGTTGGGTACAGACGTGCTCGCCTGTGCTCTTGGATATGTCCCACATACTCACAACTCTTGTGAGCGAAATTTACGTTACTCACAAGTAAGTTAAGTTCAATTGCGTACAGTGAGTGGATAGGGATGGGGGTTGGCGGAGGAATATGGGCCAGTGTTTAGTGGCGGTGGTGGTGGTGGTGGTACTTGTTGCAGTGGCGCGGCGGTGAGGGAAGCTGCCCAGCGGATAATTATTACAGGTGACCTGGAGTGGATCTAATAGGCAGGTCGATGACCTGATTGACCAGCTGGTTGCACCCTGATTACCCGGGTTTTGTCTACAGGCACAAACGTGGGTGAGCCGACGAGATCAGTCGCCTAGCCCCCACTGGCTAGGTTGTAGGGGCTCCAACTACATAACCTTAATTTTACCTTGCAAGCTGGCTGAGAGGAGGTGACCTGAGGGAACTCATCCCATTCTGGCAGGAGTCACGTACCGTGACCTGACGCACTGAGGCAGGATTATTTTTGTCGTTCTCACTTTCAATTAACGTTAACGGGAATCAACAGCCCCTGTATGCAACTGATTGAATTTATCTTGTGTAGTTTAAGTTTGCCGGTTTATTGGATATTGAAATCTCATGGTACTGTTAAGTAAAGTAAGAACTGAAGTCACAATTGTCTTCAAAGAGTAACTGCTGATTCTCTATTAAGTAACTTCCATTTTCATAAACTATGGGTGTAGGTGGGCTACTTAACCGAGTCCTGGTGTTGGGTCAACGGCCCGTCGTAGTTGATCATACACTCTACACTCAGCGGTGTTAAGGCCAACAATTTGATACTATGCCTGTGGTGTTATTGACTTTAATGGTGTAGACGTATGGTGTTCACAGCTTGGCTAGTGTTGCTGTGCACTGTTATGGGTATGGTGGAGGAAACAACCATGATTTAATGAGTACAGGAGTACTTTATGCAAAATTAGCTAGTGAGCCGTCCTCTTGACAAGTCATGTGTGTGTGTGTGTGTGTGTGTGCGCGCGCGCACACATAGGGTGGTGTAATGCGTCTAGTGTGGCATCATTATGTTAGTGTTAAAGTGCTTCTTGCTCCCTCTCGCTTTCAGCTACAGACGCTGGCTAGTATATATATATATATATATATATATATATATATATATATATATATATATATATATATATATATATATATATAGGGAAAATGGAAACAACGGGCTCCTCATTGTGGATTTACATATATATATATATATATATATATATATATATATATATATATATACACTAGCAGGGATACTGGGGTACACTCGATGAAAAAAGCATCTGTGAACAGTTAGGGCAAAACAGTCTCACACTACAGACGATGGATATTGCAAAATGCCAGTAAGACATCTCCTTTTCTATCCATAGTAAATATTTGTATTATATACACATAATATGGTTCATGTTGGCTGTGACATTGTGGCAAAGGTGTGTTGATCATTTAGGAAATCACAGGACCTAATGTGCACAGATACTTTTTGGTTCCTGTGTACACAGCGATATTCGGGTGTGTTTTTGGCGAAGTAATATACAGAAAGTGTACCAAATATTAGCGGAGTCGACCCCAGATTACACCATCAATTTTATAACCATACCATATTGTACTTTCTCATTTTAAAAAGGAGTTAAGGCCATAAAATATAGACACACAAAAAAGATAACCTGTAGTCGTGCACAGGTGGGCCCACCTCCAGGTGAGCTTTCTCGGGGCTGATTATATAAACATACCGCATTTCAAATCTTTATCTTAAAACCGTGGACGTGCATAGCGAAGACACAGAAAAATAAATATGCTTTTAATGAGGGGATCCACCTTTAGGGTTGGGGGCCGACCACTGAGGCTGAGTCCCCCAAATTCCACTTTCATAACATTTCTAGGGGAGCCACGACACGTAACTCAGTGTTATGATCCTTTAAAGTTTATACAATGACTATTCCTCGTAGCTTAAGAGATGAACATACACCTAACTGGTTGAGTTACGCTACAGCCTCCCAGATCAATATATTACGAGGACAAATGAAAACAAATCAGGAATACAATTTCCACTTATGACTAATTAAGTTGCTCGTGGCTCACAAAATGAAATCAATCAGACGTGAAAATGTTAGTTCAGGTCACTAAATTTAATCATGAGACGCAGACCTTAAATGACGGGAGGGCGGGGAGGAGTCACTTGTGTGAGGGACGCTTCTCCTGCCACTCTGACTGCAGTCGCCACCATGAACACCGCCGCCACCGTGACTGCTGCCGCAACCATACTCATAGCCGCCATAGGCATGACCGCCGGTGCCACCAACATGACCGCCGGTGCCACCAACATGACCACCGGTGCCACCAACTCATCTTCTTGTCTCAAAGTTTGCGATATGATAGTAAGTGCTTCACCACATTATTGTTTTCTTGAACAGTGTTGATGTTAAGTGCCCACTGCCTGGCTACAATACAGTATTAAAGTGTTTATGTTAACTAATCTATGCCTCGCTTTATTTTTGTAATAAAGTGCTTTGACTGTGTTACCCGCGTCACTGCTCTCTGGTAACAAGGTGCGTTGATTGCAAGGCTACTAAACGTTTCCCTGTTGAAACGATTGGTCGCCGTCACCAGTGGTTGATTTCCGTCACTTCCATCCAGGCTGACCGGTTCCCCTCATCTCCGGTCGATTCCCTGCCATCTACTTGACGATTCCTCTAACCTAACCAAACCTTACCTAACTTAACCTAACCTAACCAAACGTATCTTGAGGTGATGGGGGTGAATCCAGGAAAAAAGTCACAGAAAAAGTCACAAAAATAAGTCACAGAAAAAAGTCACTAGAAATATGTCACAGAAGAAAGTCACAAAAATATGTCACAGAAATAAGTCACAGAAAAAAGTCACAAGAAATAAGTCACAGAAAAAAGTCACAAGAAATATATCACAGAAAAAAGTAACTTAACGTAAACTAACCTAACCTAACTTAACCTAACCTAACCTAACTTTACCTAACGTAACCTAACGTAACCTAACATATTTGTAATGCTATCATATGTAAATTGTGTTGTCAATGTTTACAAGTCATGTCATATCAGTTAATAAGTGACAAACTATTATTTCTGTTTTGTTACTTTAACCTTAAATGATATTTAAGTAAAATGTGACTTTTTTCCTGAGATTTTTTTCCTATGACTTTTTTCCTGAGATTTTTTCCCTATGACTTTTTTCCTAGCTAAAATTGTGACCTATTTCTGTTCACCAATGGGGTACCAGTCAACCTGGCTGGTGCTGACGGGTAATCGACTATTGGTGCTGGGGAAACGATCAGCTCCCGATTGCAAGTGTTAGTTTATCATTGTTCTCTACCAACAAGTACGTTGACTGCAAGTGTTATAGTTTTAATGGATGTCACAAAATGACAGTTTAAATTCGGCGATATCATCGTTAACATTATAGTGAAAGAAAACATTGCTGTTAGAATTCGGATAAATACGGCAGTTTTAATTATTGCTAATTACAATCGTAATGTATATATATACAATACTATATTCTCAAGTATTATTAACATCCTTGAGGAACAAGTGTTACTTATATTAGGACAAATATCTTCCAGTTGTCCCTCTCTAGCATCATTCATTTAAAGAGTATTATGGTCTAGGTACTAATGTGTTCATCCACTTATACTCAACAGCACTTTCCGCGCCTGACTATAGAAGACACCACAAGACCTTACACGGTCCACGGGCCCATTTATGAAGTACTGAAAATATTAACAAGTAAACTCAATACGTGGTAAGACCCAGTTTAAGTCCTCATTAATGTTCACAACTCTCCACACGCTCATTATATGCTTATAATGTTAAGTTGTGACATGTATGGTATGGTCTGTTGGAATACCCTCTTGTATCATTGGTTGTTTAAAAAAGAATTAATTAAAATGTGTAGATATTCCACTTAAACGGCAAAAAACCCTTGTGATATAAAAATGGCATTATCTTTTATGTAGTGTGTGATACTGTAGTGTGTGGTACTGTAGTGTGTGATACTGTTGTGTGTGGTACTGTAGTGTGTGGTACTGTAGAGTTATCTTACTGTAGTGTGCGGTACTGTAGTGTGTGGTACTGTAGTGTGTGGTACTGTAGAGTTATCTTACTGTAGTGTGCGGTACTGTTGTGTGTGGTACTATAGTGTGTGGTACTGTAGAGTTATCTTACTGTAGTGTGCGGTACTGTAGTGTGCGGTACTGTAGTTTGTGGTACTATAGTGTGTGATACTGTAGTGTGTGGGGTAGTGTAGTGGTGTCTTACTGTAGTGTGTGGTACTGTAGTGTGTGGTACTGTAGTGTGTGGTACTGTAGTGTTGTGTAGCGTGTGGTACTGTAGTGTTGTGTGGTATTATAGTGTGATAAGTGTGTGTGGGGTAGTGTAGTAGTGTCTTACTGTGTGTGTGGTACTGTGTGTGGTACTGTAGTGTGTGGTACTGTAGTGTTGTAGCTGTAGCGTGTGGTACTGTAGTGTGTGGTACTGTAGTGTGTGGTACTGTAGTGTTGCCTTACTGTAGTGTGTGGTACTTTAGTGTATGGTCCTATAGTGTGGTACTGTAGTGTGGTACTGTAGTGTACTGTAGTGTGTGGTACTGTAGTGTTGTCTTACTGTAGTGTGTGGTTCTGTAGTGTTGTCTTACTGTAGTATGTGGTACTGTAGTGTTGTACTGTAGTGTGTGGTACTGTAGTGTGTGGTACGTAGTGTGTGTGGCGTGTGTGTGGTACTGTAGTGTGTGGTGTCTTGTAAGTTGTGGTACTGTGTGTGTGGTACTGTAGTGTTGTCTTACTGTAGTGTGTGGTACTGTAGTGTGTGTAGTGTTGTCTTACTGTAGTGTGTGGTACTGTAGTGTTGTGGTACTGTAGTGTGTGGTACTGTAGTGTGTGGTACTGTAGTGTTGTAGTACTGTAGCGTGTGGTACTGTAGTGTTGTGGTATTATAGTGTGTGATACTGTAGTGTGTGGGGTAGTGTAGTAGTGTCTTACTGTAGTGTTTGGTACTGTAGTGTGTAGTACTGCAGTGTTGTCTTACTGTAGTGTGTGGTACTGTAGTGTTGTCTTACTGTCGTGTGTGGTACTGTAGTGTGTGGTTCTGTAGTTTTGTCTTACTGTAATGTGTGGTACTGTAGTGTTGTCTTACTTTACTAAGTGGTACTGTAGTGTGTGGTTCTGTTGTTTTGTCTTATTTTAATGTGTGGTACTGTAGTGTCGGGGTACTGTAGTGTGTGGTACTGTATTGTCGTGGTACTGTAGTGTGTGGTACTGTGGTGTTGTCTTACTGTAGTGTATGGTACTGTAGTGTTGTGGTACCGTAGTGTGTGGTACTGTAGTGTGTGTGATATTGTAGTGTGTGGTTATGTAGTGTGTAGTACTGTAGTATTGTCTTACTGTAGTGTGTGGTACTGTAGTGTTGTGGTACTGTAGTGCGTCGTACTGCAGTGTGTGTGATACTGTAGTGTGTGATACTGTAGTGTGTAGTACTGTAGTGTGTAGTACTGTAGTGTGTAGTACCGTAGTGTGTGGTACTGTAGTGTTGTCTTACTGTACTGTGTGGTACTGTAGTTTTGTCTTACTGTACTGAGTGGTACTGTAGTGTGTGGTACTACAGTGTATGGTACTGTAGTGTTGTCTTACTGTAGTAGGTGGGACTGTAGTGTTGTGGTACTGTAGTGTGTGGTACTGTTGTGTTGTCTTACTGTACAGTGTGGTACTGAAGTGTGTGGTACCGTAGTGTTGTCTTACTGTAGTGTGTGGTACTATAGTGTTGTGGTACTGTAGTGTTGTGGTACTGCAGTGTTGTCATACTGTAGTGTGTGGTACTATAGTGTTGTGGTACTGTAGTGTTGTGGTACTGCAGTGTTGTCTTACTGTAGTGTGTGGTACTGTAGTGTTATCTTACTCTTGTGTGTGGTAATGTAGTGTGTGGCACTGCAGTGTTGTCATACTGTAGTATGTGGTACTGTAGTGTTGTGGTCCTCTAGTGTGTGGTTCTGTAGTATTGTCTTACTGTAGTGTTGTCTTACCGTACTGTGTAGTACTGTAGTGCATAGTACTGTAGTGTGTGGTACTGTAGTGTTGTCTTACTGTAGTGTGTGGTACTGTAGTGTTGTTTTACGGTACTGTGTAGCACTGTGCTGTAGTACTGTAGTATTGTGGTACTGTAGTGTTGTCTTACTGTAGTGTTGTCTTACCGTACTGTGTAGTACTGTAGTGTATAGTACTGTAGTGTGTGGTACTATAGTGTTGTGGTACTGTAGTATTGTGGTACTGTAGTGTTGTCTTACTGTAGTGTGTAGTACTGTAGTGTGTGGCACTGCAGTGTTGTCATACTGTAGTGTGTGGTACTTTAGTGTTGTCGTACTGTAGTGTGTGATAATGTAGAGTTGTCTTACTGTAAGGGGTGGTACTGTAGTGTTGTCTTACTGTAATATGTGGTACTGTAGTGTTGTCTTACTGTAGTGTGTGGTACTGTAGTGTTGTCTTACTGTAGTATGTGGTACTGTAGTGTGGTACTGTAGTGTGTGGTACTGTAGTGTTGTCTTACTGTTGTGTGTGGTACTGTAGTGTTGTCTTACTGTAGTGTGTGGTACTGTAGTGTGTGGTTTCTGTAGTTTTGTCTTATTGAAATGTGTGGTACTGTAGGTTCGCGGTACTGTAGTGTGTGGTACTGTAGTGTCGTGGTACTGTAGTGTGTGGTACTGTGGTGTTGTCTTACTGTAGTGTTTGGTACTGTAGTGTGTGTGATACTGTAGTGTGTGGTTATGTTGTGTGTAGTACTGCAGTGTTGTCTTACTGTAGTGTGTGGTACTGTAGTGTGTGGTACTGTAGTGTGTGGTTCTGTAGTTTTGTCTTATTAAAATGTGTGGCACTGTAGTGTATTGGTATTGAAGTGTGTAGTACTGTAGTATTGTCTTACTGTAGTGTGTGGTACTGTAGTGTTGTGGTACTGTAGTGTGTAGTACTGTAGTGTGCAGTACTATAGTGTGTGGTACTGTAGTGTGTGGTACTGTAGTGCTGTCTTACTGTACTGAGTGGTACTGTAGTGTGTGGTACTACAATGTATGGTACTGTAGTGTTGTCTTACTGTAGTGGGTGGTACTATAGTGTTGTGGTAATGTAGTGATGTGTTACTGTAGTGTTGTCTTACTGTAGTGTTGTCTTACTGTAGTGTGTGGTACTGTAGTGTTGTCTTACTGTACAGTGTGGTACTGAAGTGTGTGGTACCGTAGTGTTGTCTTACTGTAGTGTGTGGTACTATAGTGTTGTGGTACTGTAGTGATGTGTTACTGTAGAGGTGGTCTTACTGTAGTGTTGTCTTACTGTAGTGTGTGGTACTGTAGTGTTGTCTTACTGTAGTGTTTGGTACCGTAGTGTTATCTTATTCTTGTGTGTGGAAATGTAGTGTGTGTGGTACTGTAGTGTTGTCTTACTGTAGTGTGTGGTACTGTAGTGTTGTCATACTGTAGTAGTGTGGTACTGTAGTTTGTGGTACTGTAGTGTTGTCTTACTGTAGTTATGTCTTACTGTAGTGTGTGGTACTGCAGTGTTGTCTTACTGTAGTGTGTGGTACTGTAGTGTTGTCTTACTGTAGTGTGTAGTACTGTAGTGTTGTCTTACTGTAGTGTGTATTATTGTCGTGTTGTCTTACTGTAGTGTGTGGTTCTGTAGTGTTTGGTACTGTAGTGTGTGGTACTGTAGTGTGTAGTACTGTAGTGTTGTCTTACTGTAGTGTGTAGTACTGTAGTGTGTAGTACTGTAGTGTGGTACTGTAGTTTTGTCTTACTGTAGTGTGTGGTACTGTAGTGTGTAGTACTGCAGTGTGTGGTACTGTAGTGTGGTACTGTAGTGTTGTCTTACTGTAGTGTGTGTGATACTGTAGTGTTGTCTTACTGTAGTGTGTGGTACTGTAGTGTGTGGTACTGTAGTGTTGTCTTGCTGTTGTGTTGTTTACTGTAGTGTGTGAGTACTGTAGTGTGTAGTACTGTAGTGTTGTCTTACTGTAGTGTGTAGTACTGTAGTGTGTAGTACTTGTAGTGTTGTCTTACTGTAGTGTTGTTCACGGTGTAGTACTGTGATGTTGTCTTACTGTAGTGTTGTCTTACTGTAGTGTGTAGTACTGTAGTGTGTGGTACTGTTGTGTTGTTTACTGTGTGTGTAGTACTGTAGTGTGGCACTGTGTGTGTAGTACTGTAGTGTGTAGTATCGTGTAGTACTGTAGTGTAGTACTGTAGTGTTGTCTTACTGTAGTGTGTAGTACTGTAGTGTAGTACTGTAGTGTGTAGTACTGTAGTGTAGTACTGTAGTGTGTAGTACTGTAGTGTAGTACTGTAGTGTTGTCTTACTTTAGTGTGTAGTACTGTAGTGTGTAGTACTGTGGTGTGTACTATAGTGTGTAGTACTGTAGTGTGTGGTACTGTGTGTGTGGTACTGTAGTGTTGTTTACTGTAGTGTGTAGTACTGTGATGTTGTCTTACTGTAGTGTGTAGTACTGTAGTGTTGTCTTACTGTAGTGTGTAGTACTGTAGTGTGTGGTATGTTGTGTTGTTCACTGTAGTGTGTAGTACTGTAGTGTGTAGTACTGTAGTGTGTAGTACTGTAGTGTGTAGTACTGTAGTGTGTAGTACTGTAGTGTGTGGTACTGTGTGTACTGTAGTGCTGTTTACTGTACTGTGTGGTACTGTAGTTTTGTCTTGTTGTACTGAGTGGTACTAGTGTGGTACTGTAGTGTGTGGTACTGTAGTGTTGTCTACTGTAGTGTGTGGTACTGTAGTGTGTGGTACTGTTGTGTTGTCTTACTGTAGTGTGTAGTACTGTAGTGTGTAGTACTGTAGTGTGTAGTACTGTAGTGTGTAGTACTTGTAGTGTGTAGTACTGTAGTGTGTAGTACTGTAGTGTGTAGTACTGTAGTGTTGTCCTACTGTAGTGTGGTAGTACTGTGATGTTGTCTTACTGTAGTGTTGTCTTACTGTAGTGTGTAGTACTGTAGTGTGTGGTACTGTTGTGTTGTCTTACTGTAGTACTGTAGTGTGTAGTACTGTAGTAGTACTGTAGTGTGTAGTACTGTAGTGTGTAGTACTGTAGTGTGGACAGTGTTGTTTTACTGTAGGTGTGTAGTACTGTAGTGTGTAGTACTGTAGTGTGTGTGTACTGGTGTGTAGTACTGTAGTTGTCTTACTGTAGTGTTGTTCTTACTGTAGTGTGTAGTACTGTAGTGTAGTACTGTAGTGTGTAGTACTGTAGTGTTGTCTTACTGTAGTGTTGTTCACTGTAGTGTGTAGTACTGTAGTGTGTAGTACTGTAGTGTGTAGTACTGTAGTGTTGTCTTACTGTAGTGTTGTTCTTACTGTAGTGTGTGAGTTTGTAGTGTGTGTAGTACTGTAGTGTGTAGTACTGTAGTGTTGTCTTACTGTAGTGTTGTCTCATTTCTTAGTGTTGTTTACTGTAGTGTGTGGTACTGTAGTGTTGTCTTACTGTATTGTGTAGTACTGTAGTGTGTGGTACTGTAGTGTGTGGTACTGTAGTGTTGTCTTACTGTAGTGTGGTACTGTAGTGTTGTCTTACTGTAGTGTGTAGTGCACTGTAGTGTTGTCTTACTGTAGTGTGTAGTACTGTAGTGTGTCTTACTGTAGTGTAGTACTGTAGTTTTGTCTTACTGTAGTGTGTGTGTACTGTAGTGGTACTGAGTGTGTCTTACTGTAGTGTGTGGTAGTGTTGTCTACTGTAGTGTGTGAGTACTGTGTGTGTTTACTGTAGGTACGTAGTGTGTGGTACTGTAGTGTTGTCTTACTGTAGTGTGTAGTACTGTAGTGTTGTTTACTGTGGTGTGGTACTGTAGTGTGTGGTACTGTAGTGTTGTCTTACTGTGTGTGGTACTGTAGTGTTGTTTACTGTAGTGTGTAGTACTGTAGTGTGTGTTTACTGTAGTGTGTAGTACTGTAGTTTTTTTTCTTTAGTGTGTAGTACTGGTGTTGTTCACTGTAGTGTAGTACTGTAGTGTTGTTTACTGTAGTGTGTGTAGTACTGTAGTGTGGATTGTAGTGTTGTCTTACTATAGTGTGTATACTGTAGTTTGTGCACTGTAGTGTTGTCTTACTGTAGTGTTGTCTACTATAGTGTGTGTGGTACTGTATGTGTGTGGACGTGGTCTTACTGTAGTGTGTGGTACTGTAGTGTGGTACTGTAGTTTGTGGTACTGTAGTGTTGTCCAAGTGTTGTCTTACTATAGTGTGTGGTACTGTAGGTGGTACTGTAGTGGTACTGTAGTGTGGTACTGTAGTGTTGTTCACTGTAGTGTGTAGAGGGGGTACTGTAGTGTTGTTCTAGTGTGGTACTGTGGTGTGGTGTACTGTAGTGTTGTCTTACTGTGTTGTCTTACTATAGTGTGTGGTACTGTAGTGTGTGGTACTGTAGTGTTGTCTTACTGTAGTGTGTGGTTCTGTAGTTTGCACTGTAGTGTGGTACTGTAGTGTGTTGTGGTGTGCAGTACTGTAGTGTTGTCTTACTGTGTGTGTAGTACTGTAGTTTGGTACTGTAGTGTTGTCTTACTGTAGTGTGTAGTACTGTGTGTGTAGTACTGTGTGGTATTAATGTAGTGTTGTCTTACTGTAGTGTTGTCTACTAGTGGTACTGTAGTGTGTGGTACTGTAGTGTTGTCTTACTGTAGTGTGTGGTTCTGTAGTGTTTGGTACTGTAGTGTGTGTGGTACTGTAGTGTAGTACTGTAGTGTTGTCTTACTGTGTGTGTAGTACTGTAGTGTGTAGTACTGTAGTGTGTGGCAACTGTCTTAACCCTATAGGCAGAAGAAGATATTATTGAGCTGAGAAACCCTTACCCAATAAAAGATTAAGGCATCACAGTTGACAACGTGTCCAGGAGTCTTGCCAGGTCTCCAACACTAGGATGGGTATACACAGGGGCGTATTGATCTGTTGTTTTGGGAAGTCTATAATTTGTAGCTCAGTTAATTACAGAATCCTGGCGGGTTGAGGTGATGATTTTATATATATATATATATATATATATATATATATATATATATATATATATATATATATACAGTGTATATATATATATTTTTTTTCCTACAACAGCTACGAGTGGGTGTTCTCAGACTTAGTCACTGCAGGATTCCAGCAGCCTAATGGTACTTGGCTAGGCGTTATGCTATCTTATCCGCCAGGTGAGTCTGTTTTGTTGTAAGGCAAACAATGGTAAGTCATCACTAATTATCCTATTCGTGTGTTTCTAGTTCGTTATATTGCTCAGCGATTGTTTCTGTGAATATTTCTCAACATTGTTTATTGATAGAGTTGATTATACTGAGATGGTTCAATTTTGTTGCATTTCCAGCCTTCACCTCAACTGGTATTAAATAATATCCATTTGTCGAGTGTGATATATCGGGTTCTTCATTTCCTATGAATCATCTGCGATTTCACACTGTCGACTTCAGTATACCATATTCATGGAGTTCTGTGATTGCATACCAGAGTCCAGTAATTGAGCAGATCTCGCTGGTTTTGTGAAACCTACAACTTTTGTGAGTTTAATAGTTTTACGTTGTGATAAACTAAATAAGTATAATGGTATAATTAACACATCATAAGCCTCTTTGTCCCTTACCTTCCCACTCAGAGCGTCTCACTTACAGGTAATCACTTGAGAACAGAAAGACAAGATCCAAGATGTTGGTTGATTCTGATGCTTAGAAACTTCTGAGACAAAATCCACTTTACTCAGTAAACAGTAAATGTAACAGAACATTAAAGAATATCGTGAGGGTCACATTTAGCTGTTTTCATCAACTTCTACGTCTCTGTCACGTGTGAATAGTTTGTATATAACACACAGTGCTAACACCCATATCCGATACTTATCATCTCCGCCGCACAAAAATCATATCTTAATGATCTAGGAAAAGTAAACTTGCACATAAGTTACTAAGAATTTGTCAAAAATCCTTTACATTTATTTTTTACTTAGTCTTAGTTAATTTTGTTCATGATGTCACGGCGGTGGTGCATACTGTAATGAACGCTTCACTACTTGTCGGTACACTAGGTCAAGAACTATACATACATATTATCAATTTAACTTGTATCTGTACTGAATTTTTTTTTTGGTCAAGTACTTGTACGGCTCCTGGCACCTGCTTAAAGATTAATAAATTACCGTAAGTGAAAAATATGGGAGTTGGAAAAGTGAATGTAAGCAGGAAACATATAGAGAATTGTTTTGACTGGTATATACAGTATTACACATATTTGCTGTCATTCACGGTTATTTAGTTCTATATCCCTTACAATGTGTAAGAGGCGACGATTCTTTAATTTATCGCCAAGCAACCTTATAACGCCGTGTCACGGGAAACTAGAAAAGGTGGATAGGTGAAGGTGAGGGTTATCTAGTATTGCCTTACCTCACCTCCAGTACTCCTCGCGTTAGCCTCAATTTTGTTCTCTGAAAGTCAACACAAGTTCAATAGGTGAGTTAAAGGTGATATAATAAGTCTATATTAAGAGTTGGAAATTCATTTTAAAGAGAAAAATAGAAGATGAAAATAGAGAATATATAAATGACTATAACGAATGTTTGTATTCACACAGAGATATAGAGGACTTCCTTCTTATATCATTTACAATGGAGAATTGGCCAACATCGAGCAGTGCAATCTCGAAAGCCATTTTCACACGAAGCACAGAGACTTCACTGAGAAATATGCAGCTGGAGATGCCAGAAAGAAACTGTGGAGAAAGTGAAACACAAAGCAGAACAAAGTGAGAGTAAATTCACGAAATGAGTGAAATCTTTAAATGACACAACTGCAGACAGTGTTGTGGTAAGTCAAGAGATAATTAAACGAGGTCCTTTCAAAGATGGCATACATGGAGCATTGTTTTACTGAAGCATCAGAGCTGTTTAGTGAATTAAGGAAGAGCCAGTGTCTGCAAAGACGGTGAGGATAGAGCATTAAAATGGCCAAAGACATCACCAGTCGGCAAACTTATGACATTAATTCAGTCCAGGACATATCTATTGAACGTGAAGAATCTTGTTGATGATGATGATGGTGATGATGATGATGATGTGATGATGATGATGATGATGATGATGATGATGATGATGGCATTGTACAAGAGGAACTCATTGACTTGCTACTCACTGGTCAAACGAGGAATCCTTTTTTCATCTAAAATATCACTTGTTTGTAAACAAAAGAAACGTAAACCAACTACAAATTTCTGTGTTGCGACTGATGGTGCACCGAGTATGAGAGGGACACACAAGGGTTTTGTTTCTTTATTAAGGAAATATCTGGATCTTGATGTGATATCATTTTACCGCATCAGTCATCAAGATACACTGTGTGCACAGTCTTTACCACCAGAGTTCACACAAGTGATGACCTTAGTAGTGAAAACTGTCAACAAAATAATAGTAAAAGACTTAAGCCAGCGACAGTTTCGTGAACTTCTGAAAGAGGTTGATTGTCAGTATTCAGACCTTCTCTTAACAACAATTACTAGTATAGAGGACGAGTACTCAAGGTTTACAGTCTGTCTGGGTAGAAGTGAAGAAATATCTGCGTGATAAAGGCCATGAATATTCTTAGCTATAATCGTGGAAGTCGCTTTAAATGACCTTAACAGAAGACTAAAGGAAAGGGAAACATCTCTGTTGCTATTAGAAGAACTGTTGCTATTAGAACGAAAGTTACCTTTTGTTTGTGAGGGATATTGAGAAAGTTGATCAATTAGTAATGAGGAGAAGACTAATTAGGTCCTGAGGCGTCCTGCAGATTATAAATGGCATTGCCACCAACTCGTCTTTACGTAATCATTATAGCATGTATTGTATTATAATATTTCTAAGGTACTAATCGCTTGTTCATATCTTGTTTGACATTCATTACCTCCGGAAAAGTCCAAATTACCCTCTCGGAGTAATTTACTCAGAGTGTAGTATCCGCACTGGACAAGAATCAAATGCTCTGTCTGTTCATATGAGAGAATCTGATCATCCGACTAATTAGGATAATGTTTATAAAGTTGTTTCGTGTAAAACAATTGTTGATTTTAACAATATTATAAACAGTAATTATTAGGAATACTGTTAATAGTAATGTTAACCGTATTTTGGTTATATAAATTAGGTCCTTCCATCATTAACAACTTTGTCACAAGTCTATGGTGAGTATTGCATCGTAGTCCTTCCAGACTTTATGTGACCACCGAAGTTGTTACTTGTCTCCGGCACCTGTATGTAGATCTCATTCTTGACTCTTGGCCTTAGTTGTTGAAGCTCAGTAATAACACATAGCGTCAACGTCTGGCAGCTCACTCTTACTATATCTCCTGAAGATGTGAATAATCACGAAAGCGCTTGGATCTTGCGCGCTTGTCCTGGTGGTCACCAATATCTTATATGAACTATGTTACAGATATGGCTTCATCCTAGCATCAATGGTTGCGGTCATGATGATGATTTTCTTCATTGAGGTGAGTTTCCTCTTCCGTCAGCAACAGAGGTAAACAGTATATAACTGCTCAGTAAATAAAACCCATGTAGCTAGAAAGCTGTAGATATTTTGTATAATAAAAAATATCCATAAGATTGCCAGCGCTAAGCCTTTTGAGACATGAAGCTTTCTCGAGGAGCTATATAACGTTTTCAATTAATTGTCAAGCAGTTAATCTGGTATATGACACGTATATAGTTCTCCCACAAATGTTCGATTTTCGCATTTACATTTTGCAAATCTTTGATATAGTATTTGTACGGTGTGGTGTCTTAATGTCCAT